ATTCTAATGGGTCCCAGAAAAGTGAAATTTCTGGGGCAACCCAGAAAGTTTTCATAAAATTGCCAATGAAAAAACCTGCAAAATGCAAGTTTTTGTTTTCGTTTTTTACTTGTATCTCAATGAGTTTTAGTCTGGTTTTAACAAATTATATATCAAAATGTTGGTCACAGTGAGCTGAATAACTTTTAAATAGGTAAGAAGATAGATTTAATTAATAAATTATATGTAAATAGACAAAAACCAGAAACTTGGTTTTTGGAACTTTTTTCAGCAGCCAAGTATTATTGGGAGATAAACACAGCCATCCAGAAGGAGAAAAGTGTGCTGAACAACTTTACTTAAGAGGTCAAGTAAGGTTTACTTAGTAGAATATTTAGAAATAATCAAATGTTTTTTGTAGTTTTGGTATAAGTGATCTACGGATAGAGTTTCTTATAATACTTATACTTCCCATAGTATATTTGTAGAAATTCTGCAATTAATAGGATAGAGGTAAGTATAGAAACTAGAGTGTTTAAATAGAGAACTCATAGGCAGGTTCAAGGTATGACACTAGTGTAGAACCTTTAGGTAGACTACTTAAAATAGATAATGACTAAAGTTGTATAAGCACCTAATTGTACACTTTTTCTATGATTGCCTTTATAGTTATTATTCATAATAGTTATATGATAACTAATTATTAATAAACTCCTGAGTTGCAATTACTTGTCTTAACATTAAAAAAAAAAATAAAGCTAGACCTTTAAATTCCCTCAACTGTTGAAGATTCATAAGAATATAAAGATTTTTTATTTTTCTACTTTAGTTTCATCTAGTTTTATGCAATTGTTATTTATAATATAATCTAGATAATAAATTTTAGAATGAAAAAAGTGTATTTTTCTAAATTTAATTTTAATCTTATATTTTTTAATTTTTAAAAATAGATTTAAATATATTAAATATTCTTTGAATGTTTTTAAGTAAATGTTTATCCTTCTATAGATAACATAAATACAGCTGTTACTTCCAAAATAATAATGTTCTTCACTAAAAGTGTGCTATTTTTGGAAGAGAATGATGTAAGTAGGTGGGCAGGAAAGCCTATTTACATGAAGAACCAAGTTAATAACAGTTAGACCCAACATACAGGGCAGACTATAATATTTTCTGCAACTGTAAAAACCAAGTATATAGTAAGTATATCTATAGAAGAAAAATCTAACTTCTTAAATAACAACTCATTATATTCTTCTGAGAATCCTTCTTCAGAAAAGTTTTTTATATCTACTTCTCAAAAAACACAAATATCTAACATTTTTATCAACACTTCAACAAACTTTAAAACTACTAATATTAATTATAAATTATTAACAGAAGATCCAAATGATACTATCGATTTACCAATTACCAAAACTATTAAAGGAAAAACCTTCATCCAAATTCCAGATCTCTCAAAAATATACAATCCCTTAACATGCTTCAACAAATTCCTCTTCTTTTATAATCCAAAACTCCTATCTTTACTACAATCAATAGACTCATTTCTAAAATTTATCCAAAATGAATACCTAAAATACTATTCAGAACAATATATAAAAATTTTTATTAAAACATCTAAAAACAATATATTTGAAGAAGCACATATTCACTTTCTATAAGAAACTAATCCCCTATTCAACTTCACCAACATTTCTTTTAAAAATCTTATAAACTTTTATTCAAAACAAATTACACTTCAACAAGATTCAAAATACCTTTTCTCTCAAAATATCAAAACTCTCTTTTATCCACAACACCAATATCTCCTAAACCCTCCTCTATTATAATATATATAAACAACAACATCTTACCTTCTGAAAATTCAAATATTACAAAATCAATCAAAATACACTTACTAAATGTTAACAATCTTCTTAATAACTTCAAACAACTGAGTCTAATTGATTTTATCTCAGAAAATCAAATTGATATTTTTGGAATTTCAGAAACATATCTATCTACTAAAGAAGCAAAGTTCTTAATACTCTTGCAAAAACTTTTAAATTACAAATGCTTTTGGACACCAAGTAATGCTTGCCAAGATGGTGTAGGAATATTAATCCACAAATCACTTGTAAAGACATTAGAAAAATACAGACATACAAAACTTTTTTCTAGAAATTAACATATTTCTCAAAAACCTTCATATTAAACTAATTCAACTTTACTTTCCAACTCAAGAAAAAACATAACTCTGAAAAGACATTCTTCAATACCTTACTCTTATCCTTAATAATACTGACTATAAAATAATTTTAATAGGTGACCTAAATGGAGTCCCAAATCCTAAACTAGATAGATTATTACAGAAAAACTCAACTATACCTAAACATTCTCTTCTAAGAATACTCAAATTTCTTCAATCTTATAACACCTATAGGCTCTTCTTCTCATCAACTTTCACATTCTTTTATATACATTATAACAGTTATAGTAGAATTGACCAAATATGGACTAACATTCATATTACACTTTTAGACTATGCTAGCATTTTACTGAATCCATTTATTACAACTGATCACTCAATAGTATCACTTGAACTTACAATCAATATATCTAAAATTAATATACAACAACTCCAATCAAAAACTATCTATTAATGAAAACTTATATAAGATGAACAAATCAGAAACTACCAAAGTTATACTGAACAAAACCTTCAACAACTCCTAACAGTTATTACTAACATTACTCATAGTTCAAAACTTAACAATATCTGAAATTAAATCAACAAGACTCTAACTAAAGCAGCCCAAAAACACATTCCATTTAAAAGAATTAAGATTGATCTATACTACAATGAACAACAACTACCCTCTTTTTCACCACTATACAAACAACTAAAACAGACAATCTCACTCAAATCATCTTTTAATAAACCTAACTTCTCACAAACATACAACCTATACATTAAAAAATATTCACAAAACACCTTACTACCAGCCTCATACTCAATACAAACTACTAATAACCTAGACTCTACTACATTATCAAACTTACTTACTACAGAAATAAAAACTCTTAAAATACAAATTCATAAAGAAAAACAAGAAAATACTCTAATAGAAATTCAAAACAAACTGGAAGAGAAAAAATGTTAACTTTTATCAAAACCTAAAAATTTCTTTTAAAATATTTTAGAAAAACCAAATAATAGTATCAACTTAGGCATCTATTATCTAACAATACACTCACTACTCAACTATCTGAAATAAAACAAGCTTTACAATCTTACTTTCAAGACTACTTTAAAAAACTACTATATACATCAATAGAAGAAAACTCAAAATTCTATGAACTCTACAACCTATTTTCTGAAGTTACTTTAGAGAAATAGCACAAAGTTATACATAACTTTTAAACCAAAAAGCTGCAGGTTCATTAGAAACAAACTATGAACATTTAAAATATCTAAACCCCAAAGCCCAAAATATTATCTGACTATTTCTAACAAAATGCCTTTTATTACAACAAATACCAACAATATGGAAAACATCTAACATTTTCTTAATACCAAAAAAATCTATATAGAACTTTACTTTAGATCAAGTTAGACCAATTTCTCTTATTGAACCTATTAAAAAATGGTTTACCAAAATTTTTATTACATGCCTCAATCAAATTATTAATCAACATCATCTACTAAATGATCTTAACTTTGCAGCAACCAAAAACAGTTTTACATATATTCCTATACAAATATTAATTAACACAATAGAATATTACAAAACTAACAACAAAGAAGCATGAATACTCTTCTAAGACATGTTTAAAGCTTTTGATAAAATCAATATTAAACATTTACTAGATGCTTGCAAACATATTGGCATTCTCCAATTTGGACTTAATTTTATCAAGTATCTATACCAAGATAGAAAAGCCAGAGCAATTATAGCCTACAGCACTACTAACCTAATCACATTTCATTTGGGCATAGAACAAAGAGAAACCTATTTTCTATTACTTTGGAAAATCTATTATGACCCTATTCTCAGTTATATTAACTCAAAATACATTTTAAAACTTCTCAAAATATCATTACAATTTCTCTTAGAACCAATTTTTTCAACTATACCAACTTATATAACAATATCACCTCTTGCCTTTATGGATAATACAGTCTGGCATTGTGAATTTAAAAATGATTTGCAAGAGATTCTAGATGACATATCTGAACTATATCAACTAAACAATATCCAAGTTATTATATTCAAATCAGACCTTATTCACATTCTACCCAACAAAAAAATACTACTCAATAGCACTTCAAATATAATATCTTTAAATCAACAACAACATTGTTGTTAAAAAAGATATATTATGCTAATTCTGTAATGCTATGCAAGAATTAATAATCTGATTACATCTTGTGTAAGTGGGATGTAAACAGTAAATTAATTTTTTTTATTCACCTAACTAACTTTTAATTCTTGTATAAGCATTACTGATAAAGTGTAATATACAATTTTTTAGTATAGTATTTTTAGTATTAGTATAGTATTAGTATTTTAGTATTGTATTTTAGTATAGTATCATATTTAGTATATATATAAAGAACATGATACGTTATATGATTTGATGATCTACATTTGTAATCTGTATTTGTAATCTGTATTTGCAATCTGTATTTGTAATAATTAATGATAATTAATAATTATTATTATTAATTAATAATTATTAATAATAATTAATAATCATTATTATTAATTAATAATTAATAATCATTATTATTAATTAATAATTATTAATAATTAATAATTATTATTAATAATGATTATATAATAATTAATAATCATTATTATTAATTAATAATTAATAATAATTAATAATTATTATTATTATTAATTATTAATAATAATTATGTAATCTATATTACAGACTTAATTATAAATAAATTAAAAATTTTATAAATATAAAAAATTTTTTTTTAAAAACTTTATTAAATATTTTTTTAAAAATTTTATTGATATCTTAAAATGCCTTCTGAAAATATAAAACCTATTTCTCAATATATTCTTGATGCTAATTCTATTCCTAAAAATAAAACACTATGTGAACAAACAAATTGATTAGCACATATTCGATATGCTACTAATAAATATTATGAATTAAATCCAAATTTAATTCAAAAAGAATCTCAAGCAAGTTCTTCTATTCAATTAGGTAAACTTAGAACACAAAAATATTAAGCTTTACAAACTGAACAACAAAAAACAGAAATTAAAAAAAAAATCTAGAAAAAAAGAAAAAAGCTTAACAACAAAAAATTGAACAATTTTATAAAATTGATCAATATGAACTTGAAAATTATAATGAAAATAAGATTAAAGGTAATGATATTGAAGCTGGATGTCAAACAATTAAAACAATAAATATAATTTGTAATTATTGTCATGCATTAAAATAGAAAAATGAACTAAATTCATTTTGTTGTATGAATAGTCAAGTTAAAATTGTATTACTTGCACCTGCTCCAAATATGCTTTATAATTTACTAACAACAAATGATCCTAATACTGATAGATTATTTGTAGAACAAATTTGAGCATATAATTCAGTATTTGCATTTATTTATTTGAAAGTAAATCTTGATGAAACATTAGCAAATGCACAGGAAGGTGTTTATATATTTAGAATACAAAAGCTTTATATTATAAAATTAGTTCCTTAATACCTAAAGAAATTGATGGAAGACATAATCCAAATTTTGCACAAATTTATTTTTATGATTCAAGTTTGAATAATCAAGTAACAAGATGAATGAATTTAATGTCAACATTAAATGAAAATATGATTTAAGCAATTTAAAATGAATTATATGAAATCAATCCATTTGTTAATTTATTTTATTAAACAGGATTTGATGCAAATAATTTCCTGATTTAACATTAACAATTCATAGTACACATAGAAAGGATATGAGGCAATACAATCAACCAACAGTACCAGAAGTTGCAGCAATTATTTTGGAAAATTATGAAAATACTATAATTTAAAAAAGAGATATTTTACTTAAAACATATACAGAAAAGTTACAAAAAATCTCTGAACTACATGGTGCTTATGATCCATTGCAATATTCTTTATTATTTCCTTATGGTGAATATGGATGGCATGACAATATTTTAAGAGCTAATAAAATTATAACTACATCAGATAATGAACTATCTGATGATGAATTTGAAGAATTTGATAATGAAGAATTTGATTCTGATCAAATTTCAATTTATCGAACAACAAATATTGCTGAAAGTACTGATGCAACAGAAGCATTTGAAAATTTATTAGTTAGATCTGCCTCAAGTATGAGTACAAGATCTAATATTAAGAGAAAAAAAAACAGAAATTGAAGTTAGTAAAGAAATAGTTGCAGTTAAAAAAAGAAAAACAGAAAATGTATATAATAAAGAAATATTTGAAATTGATAATGAAAATGAAAATGAAATTATATTAGAAGATGAGGATTTGGATCAAAATTTAAGTACACCAATTAAAACAAAAAACAAAATGAGTTACAATTTGAGAATTTGTTGTTTATAAAATTCAAGTTCTAAATTATAATAAAACACAAAATATTTTACATCTTTTTGGCAGTTTATTTTAACAATATTTAGTAGATCAGTATGTCAAATGGGAATCAAATACTTTATGATGGTATAGAAAAAATCAATTACAATTTAGGTCTGAAATTTATTCAGGTCTACAAAACATTGTTGATTCTGATGATACTACTATGGAAAATATTGGCAAAAAAGTTATTTTAGCATCATTTTTTACTGGATCTTAATGATATATGCAACAACTATATCAAGATTCTATGGCAATTGTAAGAGAATATGACAAACCTGTTTTATTTGTTACTGTAACTTGCAATCCTAAATGGCCAGAAATAATCAATGAATTATTAAATAGATCTGAAAATAAAAATCAACAAACTTCTAACAGACCTAATATAGTTGCTAGAGTTTTTAAACAAAAACTTTAAGCAATTACACAAGGTTTATTTATAAATGGTGTACTTGAAAAAGTTATTGCACATATTTATACAATTGAATTTCAAAAAAGAGAACTGCCACATACACATATTCTTATAATATTAGCATTTGAAGATAAGCCAAAAACACTTGAAGATTTTGATAAAATAGTTTGTGCAGAAATTCTTGATAAAAATCTCTAGCCTCTGCTTTATGAAACAATAAGCAAAAATATGGTTCATGGACCTTGTGGAAACTTGAATCCAAAATTACTATGTATAGAAAATGGTAAATGTAGTAAACATTATTATAAAGAATTTACTACAACAACATTAATTAATAAATTTGAATATCCAATTTATCGAAGAAGAGATAATGGAAGAACAATTAAAAAGAACAATATATTATTGATAATAGATGAATTGTTCCTTACAATCCATATCTTTGTCAAAAATATAATTATTATATTAATGTAGAGATATGCTCAAGTATTCGATCAATAAAATATTTTTACAAATATATTTATAAAGGATCTGATTGAGTTATTATTAAAATTGGAAATCCTAAAAATGAAATTGAACAATATATAAATGCAAGATATATTTCTGCTATTAAAGCATGTTGGAGATTATTCAATTTTGGCTTGCAAGAAAGATCATATAAAGTTGAATGATTATCAGTTTATTTAGAAGATCAGCAATCTATTATTGTTAATCAAAATTAACAAATATCTACTGTGTTGGCAAAATCTTTTAATACAAAGTTAACAAGATATTTTGATATATGCAATGCAAATCAAGATGATTCTGATATAATGAATTTATGACATATAGATTTTTTAAAATTTTTTGTTTGGAATAATAGATTCTGGAAATGAAGAAAATGAGGTGGTGAAAAAATTATTTCTAGAATGTATATATGCAGTTCACATAAAAAAAAAAGATTCTTTTTGTGAATGTTATTAGTTCAAGTCAAAGGTGCTATTAATTTTAAAGCAATTTAAACTGTAAATAGAATACTTTATAATACATATAAAGATGCAACTCGCCAATTTGGATTATTGGATAAAGAAAATAATAATTTTATAAATGCATTAAGGAAGCTGCATCTTTTAAAATGCCATAAAAATAAGACAACTATTTGCCTTAATCTTACTATTTTGTGATCTACAGGAATTGGATCTAAAAAAATTATTTTATGAAAATGTATATTTTTTAGTTGAAGATTATGAAAGAAAACAAAAAAGACTTACAAGAAAAAATGAATTAACTGCAGATGAATATTGAGTAATCATTACCAAAACATTAATAGATATTGAAAAATATCTATCATATTATGAAAAACATTTAACTGATTACTCATTTCCTGCACCTGATTATAGTTTGGGTGAAGATGCTAAAGAATATAGTATATGAGATCAAAAAGTTGATTTTGATTCAAATAAAATTAATTATACATTACAAAAAGAATATCTTTTAAATGTTGATTAAAAATTAATTTATAATACTATTATTAAAGCTTTAAATAAAAATAATGCAAATGATGAAGACAATATAACCAAATTAAATGTCTTTTTTGTTGATGGACCTGAAGGTACAAGAAAAACATTTTTATTCAACATGCTATTGGCATGAACAAGAAGAAGTTTTGGAATTGCTCTTGCTATTGCTTTATTTAGAATTGCAGCTTTACTATTAACTAGTGGAAAAACTGCACATTCCAGATTTAAAATTCCTTTAAAAATTACTGAAACTACAACTTTAAATATTAGTAAACAGTCTGATTTGGCTGATTTAATACAAAGTAGTAAGCTTATTATTTGGGATAAAGGACCAATAACACACAAATATGCATTTGAAGCACTTGATCGAACACTCAAGGATTTAATAAAAAATAATGAACCTTTTTGAAGAAAAATTGTTGTAATTGGTAGTAACTTTAGGCAAATTTTGTCTGTTGTACCTTGAGGAACACAAGAACAAATTGTTAATGCCTGTATTAAATCTTCTTATTTATGAAAACATATTAAAACATTGGCATTAACAATTAATATAAGACTTCAAAGCCAGGATGAAGAAGAAAAAGAATTTGCTAATTATCTATTAAGAATTGGTAAAAGTCGTAAATCAATATATACCAATATTGGTAATAATATTGTGAGTTTGGATGATAATATAGTCTTTAATAATGAACAAATTGAATTATTAATATTGGATACATTTTCTGATATTAATAATAATTATCAAACTGATAATTATTCAAATTATATTAAAGATTGAGCTATTCTTATATTAAAAAATGAAAATGTAGATTATATTAATAAGCAAATTATTAATATATTTCTAGAACATTTATATGAATTTTTATCAGCAGATTCTGTTGAGAATAAAGATTTAGTACATCAAAATCTTTATCCAATTGAATTTCTAAATACTTTAACACTAAGTGAAACTCCTCCTTATAGATTAATATTAAAAGTTGAAGTTTTAATAATTTTATTATATAATATTAGTCTCAGTGAAGCTCTTTGTAATGGAACTAGATTAATTATTAAAGAAATTCAACAACATGTTATTGATGCAAAAATTGTTACAGGCTCATATTTTAGAAAACGAGTTTTTATTCCTCAAATTCAAATAGCACCTTCTCATTCTAATTCATTATTTTAATTAATTCGATATCAGTTTCTAATACATTTAGCCTTTGTAATAACTATTAATAAAGTACAAGGCCAAACAATTCTATATGTTAGTTTATATTTGCCAGTATCTGTATTTGCCTATGAACAACTATATATTGCTTTATCTAGAATTAAATCAAGAAAAAATATTAAAATATTAGTTAAAAATGGGCAAAATAATATTATAATTGGAACATTTACAAAAAATATTGTATATAAAGAGATTTTTGAGTAATTACATTATATTGGTCATCTCATTAAGTGTGATACACCAACTTGATACATTTGAATTAAAATGTAATTATACAAAATTTTACATATTAACTTGCAATTAAATAAAT